AGAAACAACAACAAGAAGTGTTAAGATTGTGAGATGAAACAGTATACTTGAGGCTGGAACGAAGAACGCCCCACTTTTAGGGATGAAATCACCACTTCAGTGGATAGTATAAGACTTTAGGGTTTGAAAACAGTGAAAAGATCCTTCTACAAACATGATATGAGGCTTATATAGCTGCCTCTAAGCAAAGTGACGCCCTAACACAGTTTGACAGAAATACCCCCCCTCCCACTTAAGTGACTCACATGACAGTCACATGACTCAACTTAAAAATTAACAAGCAACTGTAAGCCCTTATAAGTTAGACAACTGAAGAAAATAAGAAAAGAATGATGAATAGCTTAGCTTGGCCTCCTAGGAACCCAACTGCTAGCGGGGTTACATGTGGTCCCCATAGTTTTCAAGGCGCCAAGGTGAGGCTAGGAGACAAGGGGGTGCCTTGTTGCCTAGTCGCCTAGGCGGGCACCTAGGTGATGGATTTTTTTTTTTTTGTATGTAAAACCATATATCCTAGGGTAGTTCACTAGGTTCCATAACCGTGTTTCCTTAATAATTATCCATAATTTTCATAGGAGTACACCTTTCATGTTTAAGTCTAGAAAAATCAACATTTTATGAGAAGAAAAAGAAGAAAGGAAAGAAAATTAAAAAAATATAGGGGCTGAATCCCTACTTTTGTTATAGGGAAAAAAAGAAAAGAAAAGGTGAAAGAAGAAAATGTGTTGATTAGACAAAATTTTAAGTTCTTCCCTTGCCTATTGGTTCAGGTTTTGAAATCTTTGAGGGTTCAATCAAGGATCAAAATTTTGATACGATACGCCCCGTATCGGGCATATTGTATTGTATCATTAGGGTCTTGATACACTTTTTTATAGGTGTTTTCGGGAACCATTTTTTTAAATAATATATAATTATATTTAAAAATGAAATTGAAAACCAAAAAGATAAAAAATAGGGGGAGTATCATTATAAGTACTGATACACCTCTGCCGATACTGAGGTGTATCGATACTTTGAACCATGGGTTCAATGCAGCAGTTAGCATTGTTTGTGTTGAATAAACCCTAACAAATAAGAAAATAATGTCTATTTTATAATTATAATGTCAAAATAAAAAATATAAAAGTATTTTATAACACAGTACATAAAACTGCTTGGCGATTGGGCAAGGCAAGCCTCCAAGGGTGCCTTGTTGCCTAGGTGTCGCCTTGACAACTATGGTGGGCCCCACATTCTCCTGTATCAGGAAGAAGGATCACCTAGTGAGATGGGACATGGTTTGTAGAAGTAGGGATCAAGGTGGCTATGCACGGGTAATATGGTGGAGAGGAATATGGGGAAATTTAGAAGGGTCCTTAGGGATGGGGAAATTTTGCTGTTATTGAGCTGCTCTCAAGGATTGATCTTGTTGTTTTCCTGGATCAATCTTTTGTTGATAACTGTATTTGGTCAGCTTCTCCTTCTGGGTTCTTTTCCTTTTTTGATGAATAATAATAAATTTATTAATTCAAAAGCTGATTTAGAGTTGTGAATTCATACAACATTCGAGGAAGAGGCGCGAGCTGCAGCCCCTCCTTGAATCTTACAAGTAAACTAGGAAAGAAATACAGGAATCGCAGCTGAGCCCAAAACAATTCTTCCCTATTTACCCCGTGCTTTGGCTAACACACCTGACAAAGTATTTGCTGATCTCCCCACCCACTGTACAGTGACCAACATATTCCTTGTCAACCAACTGAATTTCTTCATTTCATTCTTGTARCRCCAYATAGCCTCTTCRGGATTTTTCAACCAACCCACCACCACTTTGGAATCCCCTTCGATTATTAGGTGCTTTACCCCCAGCTGGTTTGCAAATTGCACCCCTTGTACAACAGCTAATAGCTCTGCCATGATAGAGTCCCCAACTCCTAAGGGGCCCGAGTAGAGCAACAGAATCTCTCCCTTTTCATTTCTCAAAGCACCCCCCATTCCGGATAATCCTGGATTACCCATGCTACTCCCATCAAAGTTCAACTTCAGTGAGCCTTCAGATGGAGGAAACCAACTTGTAATTGCTTTGTCCTTTAGGGATGAACACCTCGCTATTGCTGACCAATTTCTCCAGAGATCATTAAAAGAGAATTGATGAAAGATTTCCAAGGTCTTCAGCCAAGGTATTGCTCTATTCAGCACACAGTCTTTCAATTCCTGATTGTTCCTATCCCTTTCTTGAAAAATTCTAGCATTCCTTTCTTCCCAAGGAGTCCAAATCAGGGCAGCGCGGGCACATCTCCACATAAGTCTCCCTCTTTTTGTAGGCCAAGAGAAAGTAGAATGGTTGAAGAGCATGYGAACTTCTGCTGGTAGACTCCAACTACTCCCAAACAACGAAAGTAGCCAAGCCCAAAGGTCTATAGAAAAGGGACAAGATATTAATAGGTGGTAACAATCCTCACCGTGAGCTCTGCAGAGGATACACCAATTGGGAGAAATACAGAGGAATGGTCTTCTCTTTTGTAGGTTATTTAGAGTGTTTACTTTCCCATGGAATACTTCCCAACAAAACGCCATAATTTTTGGGGGAACTGGCCTGTACCAAATTTCCTTTGATGGAAAGGGTTGTTGAGTAGAATGTTGAGAGATGGACTTGAAGAAAGAAGCACAAGTAAAGGTTCCATTGGGTCTAGGAGTCCACACCCTTTTATCTGCAGACCTTTGCGCTTTTCTTGTGCATCCTTCTTTAATTCTCTGATCCAAACCCTTAGTACGGGTTCTGCCTTTCCAGTGAAAGAGGTATGGTGCATACTGGTGCGCCCTATGATAAAGGCTTTCAGCTGGGAAGTGGTGCTAGGAAAGATCAATACTTGTGATATACTTCAAAAAAAAAAAAAAAGGAGACCCAATTGGTGTCTCTCAACCAGTGTTTTAAGACTCTGACCAGAGTAAAAACCGGAATGCTCTCAGGGTCCTGATTAATCGGGTGCTTTCCACATCCAACCCGCCAAAACCATCATTTAACTGGGACTCGGAAAGGCCACTGGTTCCTGTTTTTCAGGGTCTGACTATCCAGTCTGGGCTGAGTCTTAAAACACTGCTCTTAACCATGTTTGTATTCTTTGTGAAGCTAATGATGAGTCTGTTTTCCATTTACTAATCTCCTGCCGTTTTGTGAAATGCATGTGTGTGGGGTTTTGCTCCCTCTTTGGTTGTAGGTTGGTTCTCCTGCTGGGTGTGGCTAGACTTTTCAGCCCTGGATTCCTTGGACAGTCTAAGAAAAGAGGCAGAGTAATGCGGAGAGGCACTAAAAAGTAACAATATTATTTTTAAAGAGACTAGCAGGTCTAAGGAAGCACTCATAGAAAGTATAAGTGTAAAAGTGGTGCATTGGGTAAAGACAATCGAGGGGATTTCAAGGATTATTTGGTGGATTATATCCTGAGAGCTTGGGGAGCGGTTGCAGCCTCTTCCACTTTGACTAGCCAAACCCATGAAGTTTGGAAACCTTCAAGCACCAATAGATTGAAGCTAAACTTTGATGGTAGCTCACATGGCAAACCAGGCTCTTCTGGGATGAGATGTGTCATAAGGGATGGGAATGGACTAATTGAGGTCATGTACTCAAGACCTTTAGGGATGGGTGACTCCCTAAATGCAGAAATAACAGCCCTTTTATATGGGATGAGACTAATAAAGTAATTAAGTTTCAGAAGGATGGAGGTTGAAGGGGACTCTATTGTGGTAATATCTTGGCTGAAAAACAGAAATCAAGGTGTGTGGACTCATAGACATACTTTGAGGGAGATTGGATGCATTACTAGAGGGGTTGAAGCAACTTTTTCTTGGATCAGAAGATCTGCAATTGGCTTGGCAGATTTGTTACCCAAGCAAAGGGTAACTAGAAATCAGGTGTTTTGGATTGCAAAGTAATATACTTTGTGGGGCCAGGCTGGTAACTAGTCTGGTGTGTAATGTTATGCTAATTTATTAATGAAATCTTCTGTTATGAATAAAAAGAATATTAGTGTTTGCACTTGTTTTAGTTGTAGTTCATAATATATTCTGTCCCTCCCCAGACTCTGCATTGGCAGGAGCTTCGTGCACTGGGCTGCCCTTTTTTATTCAATATTTTTTAATAACTCAACAATTATTACATTGTTTATGTCATGCATATCATTATAAAATGTAACTTAAAACTAAATTATAGCACCCATGTCACTAAATCCTTTTTTTCCAGGCTAGCTGAGTTTGGTACCTTGTACTTGTGTTAGATTCTCATACTTGTACCTCCATGTAACATAAGCAGTTTGTTGGGCCAAAGTGTTTTGTTTAGCATCCCAGTTCTTATTTCCTTGGTGAGTTGTGAAATATGGTTCAATGTTTATAATTTCTTGTCTAAAGCTTCTGGATCTAAGAGCATTATAGTGTATGACGACCTGGTAGTTTCTGTAGTGCTTTTTGCTGTTTTCTTCACTCTTTCTTTTGGCTCCCTGGAACCTCTGTCAATTAGTCATTCTATCTTGTTGTCCTTTATGAGTTTGTGCTGTGATAAAGAAGTGGGGGAGGACTGACCATGGAACCGTGAGCGTTAGTCTATTAGACGTGAAATCATCAGTTAAATATTGGACATTGACTTATCACTCTTTGGCTTCCACAACATGGTTGACATAATTCGACATAGACTCAAAGTCATTTTTTTGATCAATTAGTGGTGAAATTTTATTGAAGAACAGGAATATGTATACAAGATTTACATAATTGGACATAGACTCAAGAGTCGTTTTTTTAATCAATAAGTGGTGAACCTTTATTGAAGAACAAGAATATGTAAGCAAGTTACACAAGCAGTATATAGACTCAAGGTTCATGACCACTCTTGCAAACATAATTATCTCCACCAATACATCAATAGATTTGGCACATCAGTAGAAACTATGAACTTTATTTGCTCACTCTCTCTCTCTCTCCAGAAAAAAAGTATTGTAGATTTTAGTAGTTAAGTGTTTGATCTTGACTTTCAGAATATCCCTTCTTAAATCTTGTTGCAGCAAAGATTTTATCTTGTATGTTGGAGGCCCTGTCTGGGCATTGGATTGGTGTCCGAGGCTACATAGGAGTTCCGATTGTCATATTAACTGTGAGGTACTTAAAGATATCTACCTTGGAACTGTCTGAATAATCTATTTCTTGTTGTAACTTTTAAATAATTGACTCATTTTGTTTGTAATGACTGGTATTGCAGTCAGTTCTAATCATTTCCATTTCTTTGGACATGAAACACCATTTTTTCTTTTCTGATTGGTAGGATAAAATTTATTAAACAAAGGAAAAGTGCATATGAAATGTATAAATAGAAAGATGAAGAGTCAACCAGCCAAAATGTATAAATAAAAATGTACTTTTTATAATTTTAAATATAATTATATAAACCTTATATATTAAAATCAATAAATATTATAATATAGTTGAATTCAGATTTTGGTCAAACCAGATGGAGTCAAGTCCGAATCTCATCTGATTATTAATTGGATGCAGATTGCAAAATCCAAATTCGATTGGATTAGATAAATATGGGCCCGTTTGGCAAGTCTTTCTGAGAAGATCTTCTTGTGGCTCTAACAGTCAATAGACGCACTGAGCTTTTGACATAAGATCTGGGCAGCCCGAAGACCATTTGGCAGAAGCGCATCGTTCCGTGCGTTGTTTCGGGTCTTTCCGCGCGAGATTAAAATGTGGAAGACGCGGGAAGCTTCATTTGGAGCTTCCCGAAATCAGCCCGAAATGGGCTTCCCACGTCTTTTCGGCACCCCGTTTTTTGGCGGCGAGATCTTCCGCATGCCAAACGCGAATAGACCGATTTTTGGTCTTCCCGGCTTGTAAGCAGCCGAAATACCGCGCGGAAAGATGCGCCAACCGGGGCCTACATCATCTGAATCTTAGATAATCGGATCAGATGTGAGATCGGGCCGTGGAGTTTTGGTTATCATTGAGAGGCCTACTTGGAGTTACTTTAAAGTCCTTATTTGCATACTATGAGTTTGTTTTGGTTTTAAAGCAAGTAGAAAAAGGAGGCCTCTCAAAAAAAGAAAAAGAAGGGGCGGAGCCCCTGTTTTTTGTTCCAGAAGTAGAAGACGAAGAGAAGAGAAGAGAAGAGGAGGAGGAAAGAAGGGGCGGAGCCCCTGTTTTTGTTCCAAAAAAAAAAAAAAAAGGAGGGGCGGAGCCCCTGTTTTTGCTCAAAAAAAGAAAAAGAAGAAGGAGAGGAACCCCTGTTTTTGCTCAAAAAAAAGAAAAAGAAGAAGGGGCGGAGCCCCTGTTTTTTGTTCTAGAAGTAGAAGACGAAGAGAAGAGGAGGAAAGAAGGGGTGGGGCCCTGTTTTTGTTCCAAAAAAAAAGAGAAAAAGGAGGGGCAGAGCCCCTGTTTTTGCTCAAAAAAAAAAAAAAGAAAAAGAAGGGGTGGAGCCCCTGTAAGAAGACGAGGAGGAGGAGGAGGCATACCTTGAATGTGATTGATTTCCCTTTCTAAGACATATAACTTGGAACCTTGATGAGGATATCTCTCGAACTCTCTTCGAATATCATATCTCTCAATTAAGAAGATTAGAAATTAATAAAAAATTTATTATAATATGAAAAAATAAAAACAATGATTTGGTGCATCAGGTTTATGATTATATTATAAACTTATGATATAAAAAGAATATTAAAACAGGTAACAGGTAACATGTTATATATAATCGCTTGAAACCGTATGGCGTTTGTGCGAGACGAGCCCCAAAAAGTGCCTACACGCCTAGGCCTTGACAACTACGATGGACACATGCACATTTTAAAAAGTTCAAAACTTTGGGATGATAGATCCCATTCCTATAATTGTTATAAAATGAAAAAAGTAATTGAACAAAAGCAGTGCCAGTCATTATTGATACACACTGTTAAAAAGACTGCTTTATGTTTAGTTTAGTGCAGCAGGGGTAATTTTGTAATTTTAATATCCTTGGGATGCTTGTAAATGTTACTTATCTATTTTTATGATTGCCCTAATACAAAAGCTGGCGCCGCCAGCACATTTTTTGAGCTCTCAAACTTCTCTCTTCCTCTCTTCTCTCCTCTTCTTCTCCCCTCAGCCCTTGTCTTAATTCTTTTCTGTTTAATATGGTATCAGAGCGGGTTTATTAGACCTGAAAGCAAGATCGGCCAAGCTTTTTCCTTAAACTAGTTACAGTTTTTTTCTTGGAGAAGCCAGATAAAAAGCATTGGAGAACCTTTTTCAACCTTTTTTCTTTTTTTCTTGGTTGTGTACCAAGACAGAACGTGTACCAGGTTCGTGTGACTGATGTGAGGTGAACAGAACTTATTTTCTGCCCTTTTTCTGTGGATTGTGTGATCCTTGTGGTGTGTTTGTAGGTCGTGATGACCTGTATGTGCTGTAACAGCAGTAAAGTGAAAAGTTTGGTGACTGTAGGGCTGTATTGTGGTGTTGTTTTACTGTTCTTAGGTGCAGTACAGATATTTCCAGCAATAGTAGATAGTGTGAAAGGGAGAAATTGACCTTCTCTGTGTGAGATTGTGTGTGGACTTAGGAGTGTTGTCGGACTGCATGCCCCTTGATTTTTCGTGGTTGGTTAGGTGTGACCTGAAGCAGTTATCATGAATATTGAATACTCTGCCACCTCTAGTGTCTCCTCAATGCAGAATGGGATGAGTGGGGGTATAGATTTATCCTTTCCTATGGTTGTCATTCCTCTAGATGGATCAATTACCTAGAATGGTTGAAGGGGATCAGATTATACATTACTACAAGGGGAAATATAGGGTATATAAATGGGAAAATTAAAGAACCCAATTTTGGGAGTGCAGAGCATGATAGGTGGAACCAAGAAAACAACATGGTAATGTCATGGCTCTTAGTGTCTATGCTACCTCAAGTGAGAAGAAGTTTTATGTGGGCTGAAACAGCCTATGAAATCTGGGAACAAGTTAAATTAACCTATTTTGAACTGTGTCACTATACAAAGATTTATCAGTTGTAGGCAGAGCCATCTACTTGTAAACAAGGGAAGAGAAGTCTTTTTGTATACTATTTGGACCTGACTTCCATCTGGAAGGAGTTGGATCATTACTAGAGTGTGGACTGGTAGTGTGATGAAGATGCTAAGGCTTACAAGTCCCTTGTTTCATATCAACAAGTGTTTGCCTTCCTCCTAGGCCTGAATCTTGTGTATGAGTCTATTAGGGTGCAAAACCTAGGAAGCAAGGATCTCCCATATGTTCAAGAAGTGTATGCCCTAGTATAGTTAGAGGAAAGTAGAAGAAATTTGATGAACAACTTTGAGAGAGAATCAATTGCTTTGGCAGCTAAAGGAAGTGTAGTTGTAGGTGAGGAAAATTCCTTTAAGAAGGGGGGTTTCCAGAAGAAAGTAGATGACAAGGACAAATTATGGTGCACTCATTGTTAGAGATCTCGGCACACTCGTAATATTTGTTGGGATCTTCATGGGAAGTCGAAGTGGGCTCAAGAGTTGAACAAGAAACAAGGTTTAGATCAGAATAAGAAACCATGACAACAAGGTCCAAGGAAGTTCAATGCAGCAAATATGGCTTCTCAAGACACTCAAACCCTCTAGTACTATTGTGGCTCAGGCATGTCCTTTTGGTTCTGCCCCGAGGGAGGATATCCTTAATTCCTTCTGTGATTATCTGGAGCTGTATGGTAGGGCAATTCATTAGATGGATACTGCCTCTCCTCCCTTAACTTCATTTGCTCCTACATCAGGTAACTTTGCCATAGCTTTCCATGTGGCATCTCATTCCCCGGACTCCCCTTGGATAATTGATTCTGGACCATTAAACCATATGACTAATAAGTCATTGTTTTCAGGCCTATCATCTTCTCTCTAGCAATGACAAGGTGTGACTAGTTAATGGCTCGTTCTCCACCGTTGTTGGTCAAGGAACCATCTCCCTTCCTTTTGGTCAAGGAACATGCAAAACATTAAAAAGAGGAAGTATGGTGGAGGGGCTCTTCATGCTGGAAAATAAGGCTGCCTTGCGGTCATAGGGTCCAAGAGTTGATCTAGTAAGAGTTAGGCTTATATGTAGCACATTCGTCTTGGTCATTTATCTTTTGAGTCATTAAACATTTTGTTTTTGGAGTTGTTTTAGTCGGTGTCAGTCAGAGTTCATATTGTCAAACTTATCAATTGAGTAAAATTGTAGATCTCATTGATGATTATTCTAGATATAGATGGATGTATGCAATGAGATCTAGTGATGAAGTTCCCAAAATTGTAAAATATTTCCAATGCATGATCTTCACCCAATTTCAAACTGAAATCCAAGTTTTCCAATACGGTAATGCCAAAGAATATTTTCATAGTGACCTCATGGATTTTTTTTTGCTTTGTGTGTGGGTCCCTTCATTGTAGCTCATGTGCTTGAACACCCCAACAAAATGGCATTATTGAAAGGAATTGCAGGAAAAATATAACATAAATTACAAAAACAAGTATCAAAAAGACAAATTATAAAAACAGAAATTGCAGGAAAATATAACAGAAATTATAAAAACACAGAAAATGAAGATAAATAGCAAAAATTACAGAAAAATGCTAACAAAAAACATGGAAGATGAAAAAAATAGAAATTGCAGAGAAAATACAGAAATTATAAAAAACACAGTAAATGAAAAAAACTAACATAAATTACAAAGAAAGAAATTCATAGACCGACACCCATTCAACAGGAGGTTTTGATCTGATACTTCTGATTCTGATCATAATTTTGCTTTGTTTAGATCTAATAAAAACTTTCGTTCTCCACGGTAAAAATTACAGAAACCTCTTGTATGTTGACATTGGCACCAGATTGATGGTCTTCTTGAAGCAATTCACAGCGAGGTCATGTTTATGGAAATCATACCAGATCAAGCCTGTTTTGTAGAAGGAAGATGTGGATTTGAATTAGTGAGATCTGACGGAAACAGCAAATCAGTTGAGATCTTACAGAGTTTAACCAGGTCTTTGTTGACCTTCACTTGGGCTGCTGAGGATTGTATTCCTATGGCATTTGAGAGATCAAACCAGGCGTTCCACAGACAATAGCATAGCTTCTATCTTTGAAGCTTACTGGAATTGACAACAGAGT